CCCCCCCGGGGACGGGGGACGGCCGGGGGCGGCTGCCGGCCAGCCAAAGCCCGTCAGGGGTGTGCGAGAACAAGACCGCACAGATGAGCAGAGAGCCGCGCTGGTGTGTTCCTGTTTTAATTTAGCCATGGTTAGCACAGGATTCGTGCTGGCAGGCTGTACGTGTAACCGAATCGTCCCGTGTGAAGTGTGACATAGCTGTGAAGGCGGAGGTTTATAGGGCAGTAAAGGGACTAGAGAACTGAGCATAAGACTTTCTGGTAGCACTCACACGCATTTACTTTTGTTAGTGCGTTTAAACTCCACCTTGTAGTTAAAAATACATTTTCCTTTATGGGCATGCAGCTTAAAAACGGAGATGAAAATTTGACGTGCTAAACTCTCAGAGAGAAAGGGAGACAAAAGTATTTTTTACATAAATAATGTGTTTCTTTAAACCAGGCAGATGATTTCATGTACAACAACTTTTTAAAGAGCGGCAGGCCAAACTGCTAATAGTCTAGAAACAAATCTAGAAACACATGTTTACAGGGTATTTTTTTTTTCTGTGTTCACCCTTCAGATACAAAATTTAGGACTAACATAGGCAAAATTCAATGAAGAAACAGAGAAGCATTATAGGAATCAAACCCAAAATGGGAGGGGGAAGGAGTGTTTGCCTTGCCTGCTATTGCTATTTACCTTTGGGCACAGGAGAGGTAAAGAAATTGCTAATGCAGAATGCGAATAGCTTACTTTCCCTTTATACAAGAACACATTTAGTTCAAAAAGGCTGTACTGGATGATCAAATAGTCCTTTCTGGCCTTAGTTTGGATGAGACTATGAATCACTACACTGAGAATTAGTCCTGACACATTTTTGTATACCTCTGCAGGCCCAAGCTACTCACCCATCCTGCACAGCTTGTTTTGTCTTCCCTAGACCTCAAGCACAAGCAGCATCCCTGAATGTTTTTTCCTTGGCAAAACTTTCCAGCAGTGGCTATATCTTGCCATGCCTCCAAAAAGATTTCTAAGGCTCTGAACTGCTTAGTTTCTGATTTTTGCAGGTGCTGATCTCATGTAGCGCTCTTTAATTTGAATTATGAGAGTGTGCATTCAGCAGTCTTAAGACGCAAGCACCTGGCGCCCATGTAGAGATGCTTAGACCGAGGGGTGCATCCCCAAGGCCACCTTTGCGATCCCTGTGAAGTCGCAGGGAGGACTCATCCAGAGGAGCGCGCCTTGGACATGGGGTGGTGGGAGCAGGCGTGGGCATGTCCAGGAGCTCCCCTTCCCCACACGGCTCTGCCCTGCCTGCTCAGCACAAGCTCAGTCTACCCCTGTAATGAATATGGATCTGTGGCACCGATGGATCTTGAAGTGAATCTCGAATTATAGTGTGCCCACGTTGGTAGAAGTTGCTTCTAGAAGGCTTGTAAGGAAAAAAAAAATGCAGTGGAGTACTTAAATCCCTTTGGACTGCTAGCTGTTAAGACAGATTTCATGCTCTACTGGACCATGACATTTAACATTATTACCGAAAAAAATATAAAACAGATTATTCATCATCTTCTGATCTGTCTTTAAACCCATCTGCATAAAATATGAGAAACAAGCTTGTTTTGTTCCTAACAAACAGAGGATGACCTGCTTTGCATAGTGTCTGAAATTCAGCCCAAACCCCCCCTAACATTTTGCAGTTTTCAGAGGGACAGATTGCTCGAGAGATGTCATACGATCACTTTAACCTGAGGGGAAGACAGAGCTTCTCCAAGGGTTGGTCCAACGGACATTAGCTAAGTCTCCAACAAAGTTTTCCCAGGTTATTACCCAGAGTGGTGTACAATGGGAGAAAAACAATTAGATTTTTCCCCCCAGGAGGGATGGCAGAGAAGAAACCCAGCATCTTCCCGTGGAGTCCTGCAGATCCTTTGTCTCTCCGCCCTCCTTTAAGCACATTTCCTTGTAGCCATGGGTGGTGGGGAGCAGCCCCGCACCCCAGCCCTGCAGGGAGCACAGAGCTCCGGCTCTGCCTGGGCAACCCCCCTGCTGCAGATGCGTCCCCACCAAAGCCCACCTCCCACCCCGCGCCTCGGCACCGTACCCCGCTCCCACCCACCACCTCTGCCAGCAGCGAGGCGGGCTTTGTCAGCTTGGACAGGCGGTGATAGAGGAAAGCTGGGGGTCTCGGAGGAGGTTCCTCGGAGAGCGCTTGGTGCTGGAACAAATCGCAGGCATCTGCATGTGGCGTCCAGGTCGCACTGAAAGGTGAATGGTGTGAAAGAAGAAATAAATTGGTCTCCCTTTTGCTTCTTTGTTGTGGTTAAAAACCTGATATGGTTTGTTGTTGTTTTTAAAGCGAGTCATTTTAGATGGCTTTTATCTCAGACATGTCAACAACATCAGGCCTTCTGCTGCCTGTTTAGGTTGGAGGTTATGCTGGAAATTTCACGTGGCCTATACGTGTTCTTGCCTCTTAATTAAACTGAATGGGCCGTTGAAACTTTAATAAATAGATACTTTCTTCCAACAATTTATAAAGTATGTGAGTGGATATTAGCGTAATGGCTGTCAACCTAAACAAAAGAAAACCACAATACTTTCCATCTTTCCAAATGAAAAAGAAAAGTTAACTTTCTGTCCCTTAAGCCACAGTCCAGAGAGCAGCAGGGAGAAGCAGAACATCAGGCCTTGCAGCAGGACTTATTCCATCTTATCAGTAGAGTTTCTCTGCTGTAGAGAACTTTCGAATGCTAAATTTCACAGCATTTATAATTTTGGGGTTTGCTTACTTTCTGTTACTACCTGTGCAATGTAAGCACACAGAAAATGCTTACGTATGCCTCAGTTGAAAGTCCAGAAGTTTCACTATTCATTCCTGTCAACTCTCCCAAGAAGTCTGCAAAACTACATTTGACTTCCAGTGCTTTCATTGTACAAAATGAGCCGAATAAATATAAAGAAACTAATAAAAGCACTCTGGGGGAATTTCTGCAGGACTTAAATAAAAAAGTATAAGATTTGGTTTATTTTTTGCAATCTACTTAGAAGTCTACTGCCTCCTAAATTTGCTGGCAGAACATAGTAAATTCTTTCACTCTCCCTCAATTAAGGCACATGGGCTGCTATCACAAGTCTCTTTTGGCAGATAAGATCATGCAAAATCAGTTAATTGCCTTCGGTTTTTATTCTGTATGGCTTTGTGAAGTCTGATTTTAACGCCTGTATTTTGCTAACTTATGGATTACATTTCAGACTCTTCAAATGCCATGTCAATGCATTATTGTACAAAACGTGAGACATCCTGTACCCCCACAGAGCAATTTCAGTTTCTGCTAGGGTTTTGTTATTCCAAAAATAGATAGTGTGCTGACATATTAAATAGAGTGGGAAACTAGGATCTGAAGTCAATTCAGATTTCGAAGAAAAAACCAAATAAATAAGGGAAAGTTAAACTTGGACGTAGCACAGACTCCACAGGATATAGCACTGCTCCATGCTCTTAGCTGCAGTGTTGTGTGTCAGGGGGTTGTGTGAGCATCCCTTCTTTTTTACGGGATTTGTGCAAAAGTAACAGTTCCTGCATAGGTTCCCTCTTCTTTGCTCATTGAGAGCTGATACAAAGCTCATTAAAACAGAAAAGGTTCCTACTGGCTTCAGTGCATTTTGGATCAGACTCTTTGTCTGGTTTCTAATGCAGGCAGTAAATTTCCCCATATAGAATATATGGTATAATTCTTTTGAAGTATTCTTTAGCTGCCTGTCTAACTACAATGCTTCATTTGTGAGCGTCTTGAAGTACAGCTACAAGAGAGTTGAAAAGAAATGTGCTGTCTTACTGGATTTCCAGATGAAATAATAGCCAAGTATCTCTCAAACAGTTGCCTTTCAGCTTGGAAATGGTCGGGTCCTTTGAAAGGCACAGCTGTATTGCATTTTAGGGGCAAAATTACTATCCCTAAAGCATTAAATCTAAGACATTTAGGCACTATAACCACAAGTATAAATTCAGACTTTCATTCTCTGTTGTTCGTCCAGTGGTACTGGTATGTTTGCAAAATTATTCAGTGTTGTTAAAAGTCCCCATAAACCCTGAACCAATGTCTTTTTGATTTTTTTTTTGGATATTTTTTTTTTTACTGGCAGTACTGACCAGTACTTTTACTGACTTTTGTGAGACTTCTATAGTGTTCCTACATTTTTCCCACCATTGTTATATTTTACAGGACAATTTACAATATGCAGAAAAAAAAAGCATTTCCTTTGTAGATTGTCTCTATGTTTCTGAGGGATAGTTTATTTTTAACTCGGAATTAGAGGTGACCAAATGTAAAAGATTTAAGGAAAGAATAGCAGAAGTCACATTAACTTTATCACAGCCGACGCGATATCGGATTTTGGTGTCTTTGAAGCTACTTCACTCTGAACCTAACTTTCATCAAGCTGGCAAAAAAATGGTCATTTGGGGGCTCTTTTGTGTTCAGCATTCAGCTTCTAACAAAATAACTACATTGTATGTTTAACATGCCAGAAATAAGATGTGAAAGACAAGAACGGCAGGATTTAAAAGACTATTACAATGCACAGCTTGTTCAGTGCCCCTAAACACTATCCTTCAAAGCTTTCTAGTATAGGTTTTGTTATTTATTGCTACTGTCAGAGAAAGCTCATAATGTGACAAATGAAAGGCGAAGAACAATTAAGATGAATGGTAGGACATAGTCCACCAGAAGAAATGCTTTTCTAAAACTATTCCTTTGCACATTCTTTAACTGCATTTGAAGTTCAAGAAAACCTGATGTAACTAATACAATGTTTTTTTAACAGATCCTCCCGAGCAGTGCTCCCTTAGAAGGTGGGACAAAACTGACGCTGTGTGGATGGGACTTTGGATTCAGCAAAAATAATAGATTTGAATTAAAAAATACAGTAGTGCATATTGGAGGACAAATTTGTGCTCTGGAAGCAAAATCTAGCAACAAAAACAAGTAAGAAACCTAAAATATTAATTTCCTTTTATACAGATACTCTTTATGTGGTATGGATTTTTTTGTGATAGAAACATTCAGTCTATAAGTGTCATCTCCGATTCTGAAATTTCAAACAGGAAACAATCCCTTGGTTTGATAAGCTCCCTGAGAAAAAAGTGCTCAAAATGGAGATCAAATAAATCTAGTTAATGCCAATAGCTCCAGCAGCAGCTTTTTCTGGTGTGTCTGCGAAATGCTGTTCAACCTCTGTGGGAGCTGGCAAGAACGAAACCATTCAAAGATTTGAAAAGGGGGCAGGTTCCTTTGGCCAGGATCCTGCTGGGCTCAGTTATGTCACCTCCATCTTCCTGATCTGCAAAGCTGCTGGAGAGAAATGTGAGAAGATGCAGGTATTTCGTCATCCAGAGGCTTGTGACCCGCAGCTGCACCTCTCCTCCTCTTTCTCAGAAATAAGTATTTGAGACAGTGAGATAATGGCTTAAATTTAGCACAGAGGTTATTCTGGTTGTTAACTTCAAGAAACAGGAAGTTCAATTGATACCGTCTCTCAGTTCAAAATATATGACTATCTACTACCAAAGCAATGTGCAAATCATGGCACGACTTCCCTACTCGTATATACAGCAGCAAAAACATCACCCTCCAGATGTATTGAACACTTTCTAACTGCTACTCTGAACAGTCTTAATGCAAACAAAATGATTTAAGGAGACTAGCTCGTATATTAGTCTGTGTAAAAATAATGTAATACAGTGGCACATAATGCCTCAAAAGTTCAAGTTTAATTTTTGGTAATATTTAAATTTATACAACAAACTTGTGTATGTTATGCACTTTTTCTGCTCCTGTTGTCTGCCAAAATTTGGCACTAAAGGAAAATTCCAAAAACCAACTCAGCCATTGAATAGGAGGTATTTGTTTTCCCGAGCATGCTCCTTTTTTTCTGAAATTTATTTGCTATACTAAAATTATTTTCTCTGACCAAGTATAAACACCACAATGTTTGTATATAGTATTAAAAAAGACAAACACAGGTTTTTTAGCAGTTATTGATGATTTGTTTAGTATGGATCCTCCATCCCCACAAGTTTGATGTCATTCTATTTTAATAGAAGAAATCAAGCTAGAAAAAAAATGTAATGCCATCTTTTTCCTTGTTTTCCAAAGGCTGGAATGCACAGTTCCTGCTGCAAAAAATCCAACTTTTAATATATCCAGTAGTGTTTCTGTTGGACATGGCAAAACACAATTCAATACATTTTCATACGTGGTAAGCACTATGATTAAAACTTTATTGTCAAAAACAGCTTCAATATTAACGGGGTGGAGACTCCTCCTGAGTCCAGTCCAGTATGGTAATTCTATATTCCTGTTTGCTTTAGTATTACTTCATGGAAATGCTAAGATTCTTCACATTTTGAAAAAAAATAACAATTCACTGTTCTTATTTTTAACCCTCCTCAGAATCCTGTAATAACAAGTATCTCTCCCACCTATGGCCCCAAATCTGGAGGAACACTGCTAACTATAGCTGGAAAATACCTAAACAGTGGAAAATCCAGAAGGATTTTTGTTGGTGAGAAGCCATGCACCTTGAAAAGGTAATGCACTTAATAAAAAGTGATGCCTTTAGTACTGAAATGACTGGATTAAAATGTCTTGGAGTGAAAAAAACACAAACGTGCATTACTTTACTCTCCTCCTGTTACACGTCTGAGAATTGATACTACAAGAAGAATTCAGTTCTGGATTACATCCTGAGTTTAGGATGTCTGAAAGGTTCCTAGAAGGGACTACAATTCCCTAGAAGAAGTTTGTTCTGTAATGCCTTCATTAACCTCATGAAAAGGTTGCATAGAGAAGTAGCAGATCAGCTTCTAGTGCATTAGAATCTGCCCATTTCCCATCATTTTTGTCATCCCGTCTCCCATACACTCAACCCTCTCTCTTGCATTAGCAAGAGCTGCTGTTCATGCAGCAGCTCCCAGTCAGCGTCCAGTGGGTGCAGGTTACTATTTCCTACTGGTCTGTTCGGTGGAAACCTGACCAGCGTGGGAATATGTATCCCATGCAGAGGAGCAGCTATTTCTGCGCTACTGTCAGCGAACAGCCTCCAAACCAGAGGCAGCATCAGTTTGGGGCGTTTCCTGGTATAAATGAAATTCTTTTGAGGATTAAGCCAGAATTTCTTGTGGCTCTGTACTGGATCCAGGAGGAGCTCAGTCAAGAATCTTTGACATGCTCTGTGTGGAAATGCCTTCAATCCCAGCTGAGTATAAATGTTAAATACCAAGCTCTGCGATCGGCAGACAAGCGTTCTGAGTTTGGTAGGCATTCTACCATGGCGCAGTTTTACTGAATCCAAAGCACAGCAGCTACTGGGAGGAAAATTAACTCTATCCCAGCTGAAACCAGGACAGTCCTGTTTTCAGGTACAGCAGTGTGACTCCAGAATTGTCACTTCTGCGGCCAAGGGCAGAATCTGGCCTACTGTGTTCCAGGAACAGGATGTCCAGCAATTCCTCTACAATTTGAGTCTCTCCTAATGATTATGGAAAGTCGTAGTGGTGAAACATCACACTTGGAGAGAACGTGGGGAAGCAATAGCCGATTAGTTAACTTCAAGACTCAAAGTCAGGAGAGCTAAATTATATTCTTTGCTGCTAAATGATTTATTGTATGCTCTTGAGCAAATCAGCTAAGTCTGACTAAATCAAGAAAGGGATTTAGGTATTTAAGTCTGATATTTAATCATTACCAAGATCTTCAGCATTTCTGTTCAGTGGCTGCTTAACATTTTAGGGTGGCATTTATAGATGTCATCATCTCAGCTGGTCAGCTAATGGACAAATATATAAAACTTTTGGGAATGATTCATCTGATCCATTTGAGACATGTTACTGTGAGGATGAGACGACAGCCATCTCAGAGGCAGACATCTGCTTCAGTCAGGTGGACCTCAAAGTATCGAACCGTAGTTGGGGGTTACCCAGTAAGCACCCCCAGCATCCCACTTTCCCACCAGACCAGTTGTGTGGAGACTTCTACACAGGTCTTAGCCAGTTTCTCAGGGCAGGTATTTCTCTACCCAAACTGGCAGCTTTCCCCAGTTCTGAGGCCAGCTAGATCAAGGGTTTATTTTTTCCTTTAAAGGACGGTAAGAAGCTTCCAAATACATATGAACAAAACACTAACCCCTACAGCATGCAGTGAATACCACCTTCCTGCCCCTTTTGTCTAATTTGGAGACAATCTCTCACATCCTTTGGGAATGGCCTCACTTGGAGGGCCTCTGGATGTGGTTGGGCCCAAATCACTGAAACCAACTGGTAGAGTTACATTTGCCTTCTCCAATCAGTTGTTACGATTGTACTATTGCCTCTGATGTGCCCTGCTCCCTGTGGCCACACTTCATGTGCTTCACGTTGCAGGATCTTTCACACCATCGCTGCCCACTCACCCGCTGAGCTCAGTGTAGTAGGAGGACCTCCAGGGCCAAGCATGAGAAAGCAAGGGAAAGGTGAATATCCCAGAGACTCTGCCGCTGTGCTGAATTCAGCCAGCTCTTCCTGAATTTTCACCTTCTTCTCCCTTCTTGCCTTGCTTGCCTTCTGCCTGCCCCTCAGCAGTGCCTGGAGGCAGCAGGTGCCCCCAGGGGAGGACATCTCCCACATGCTGGTACATCCCCCACCAGCACCTTTTCTTGAGGTTTTTAATACAGGGTAACTCCTGTGGACTGGAAAGAGAAATATGTATCCCTTAGTTGCAGCGGAACAAGTCATTCTCCTTAAACCTGGCACGTTCTGTCATTTCCCAGGCTGGGTGCTGCCTTTGCAGGCTGCAGGGGCTATGTGGCTGTCACCAGCACTGGGAAACACCTTCCAGCAGGCAAGGTACAAGTCAACCACATTAAGATGAATCTTGAGCCTAAGCAGTGGTGTTGCTGTTTCTACCTCATGCCGTGCTTATTTGTGGCAATCTGATCATCCCGTGTGGGAATCAATGACATTTTAAAAAGCAGATCCTTAGGTGGGGTTGGGGCTCACTAAAAGGCCATGTTTTAAACCGTGTACATGTTACATAATGCTGACAAGCAAGCCTTTTTCTGCCCTTCCAGCGTATCGGTGAGCACTGTGGAGTGCTACACTCCAGCACAACGAATTCCCCAGGAATATCGTGTGAGGGTGGGAATCGACGAAGCTATTCGAGACGCGAGCGGTCATTTCACATACAGAGAAGACCCTGTTGTTTTAAAAATTCATCCAGCCAAATCTTTTCTTAGGTGAGTAGAAATTTTGTGCAGAAATAAGAGAAGTAATGAATGAAAAGAAGAATGACTATGTTGCGCAGCAATCTATCAAAAGAAATTGCATTTTTATCTGTATCTGCCATGCCAATTGCTTCTATTACGGTGCAGTTGCAGAGGGCAGATCATTTCCTCTCAGAGGTGAAGGAGAAGGGGGAAGGGCGCCTCTTTTCTTTATGTGATTTAACTCCTAGCTGCTGCTGAGCGTACCTGTGATGTCCTGCTGAGATACCTACTGTACAGCTAAGTGTGTCTCCTCTATTGCATCTGGACATTACACTGATTAGTGAGGAAAATCATTTAATATGACAAGTCAGTGGTACTCAGGAGAGCAAATGGATTTTAAAATAGTCTAAATCCAGCCCTACATAAATATTATGAATATATATGTATGGTAGTATATGTGTGTTTTTAAGTGACGTATTTATGGTCTCAGTAGCTCTAATCCAAGCCATCTGCTTTTGCCAAGAAAATGTCAGCAGTAAAAAAGACACCTTTTTCAGCACCACTGAAAGCAGTAAATTAAGTAAGTTAGCAAATGCTAAGTACAAGTATACACCCTCCTTTAAAATGTACATATTTGTTTTATTTCTTGGCATACCACAATTTAAAAAATATTTTTCTTTTCTTGTATTTACTTAGTTGTTATAGCAAGTGTAAAATTTGTTTCCCAGAAGAATAATCTCACTGCTCAGAGCTCTGTATTTGCATTCACCCCATATATCCCTAATTCTGGTTTTGACTTGTCATTTGTTCTAAAATATAATTTGTAATTAAGTTTATCATAGCAGATGTAACATTATCCTACTCATCTTTTTTTTTTTTTTTCTTTTTCCTAGTGGTGGAAGTACAATCACAGCTCAGGGAATCAACTTGAACTCAGTGTGCTTTCCTCAGATGGTGATTACTGTACCTAAACTAGGAATGAACTTCTCTGTGGTGAGTCAGTCTTGGAGAAGACAATCTGTTATCTTGTCATCTTTGTGTGGTGAATGGCACAGAATTTTCAGTCAAAACACTTTGATTTTTGTCTTGAAACCTCGGGACTTCCACGGACATTTTGGTGTTTTCTGAACAGACTGTTTCTACTGCATAGACAAAACAACAAATTTGAAATTAAGCTGGGAGTAGAACAACAGTTTCCAAGGAACCTCTTCCAAAGAAATAAGGCTTTTATAGTATCTGATAACAAGACTTTTATATTGCCAATTAACAATACAAATTCAGCGACTAAACACAGAACAATGCAATACAGGTATGTAGATTACATGGCAAGTTCAAGTGCTACTGTGATAGGTAGGAAAGATATTCAAATAGTGACTGTGGATATAAAAGGAAAATGGAACAAATGTCAAAAAAAGAGGAAAAGTAAATATGTAAAATCAAAAGTAAGTATTATTTTGAAGAATTTCTAACTGCCAAATTACCTATTGCAGCAAATCTTTCCCAACTTATCAAAGTTCAGCAACTAAGTTTTAGGAGAGGTTTGGGTTTTTGCTCTTGGGTACCTCTGCATGAACAGAGGGTCAGTCAAGGATCTGAGCCTTCTTTTATTACCTGAGTTGATAATACACGGGTGTCTAAATCCAAATAAGGTGATCAGATATGACCATGTGATCTACTTTAATTTTTATAAGGCAAAGATGACATTTATTGGCTAGTTGTACTGGAACTGTTTCCTGTAAACTTTTGCCTACACATTTGTCTTGCATAGCCAACATTTTCTTATCCTGTAAGGTCTATTTAGCCTAACTAAAGCTAAATTGACCTACACTCTTTATGACATGCTAGACTACTGCTCATATTGTCAGTTTATTTCTAATGATCATCATACACTATTTCCTGTATTGAATTCTAAGTATTAGACCTAGGTTCGCTCAAAGCATTTTAAATGGTATGTCTGCAAATTTGCAGTCTTTTATAGCTTCAAGGTCATAATATTCTTCATGATCCTAATTTGTATAATATTATGAGTGTCGGGACCTGAATTTCAGTTGGATGTAATCGTGGCTTGTAATTTAATAGGTTCACATTTTAATCTGAAAATCAGTGCCCCTGCAATGAAACACGGTGTTCAATGTTATCAAAAAGACACTTCACCCATGAGTCAGAAAGAAAAACATTTCAGTGAAATCAACGAAACTCAAAATTTATGAGGTTTTGAGTAATGTGGGCATGATTATTTCTAAGTACAAAAGGTTTCTAAAGAAAAGATCATTGCTGAAATCACCTCTTTAGATTTTGCTTTGTGTGGATTTGAGCAGTCTTTCTTCTGAAGTAAAAATCATTCACTTGCTTTCTCTGTTCCCCTGTGAGCATATGCAGTATTGCTTCTCTTCAGGCCCTGATTCTGCATACCTGGCTTGTCAAATATTTGAGAATTCCTCAGAATTTGAAGATATTTTAAATGATCTGAAATTTTAGAGAACTTAATCCACTGTCCAGAAGTGACTGGGAACTCCAGACAATGAACACTGTAGAGGTTACTCTCTCCCCCAAATATTGGGGAGCAAACTTTCCTTTGAGCAGTGGTTTGCTGCCATCCTGCTTTTTAATCTGCTATTGACAAAAGACATGGGCACAGACAGTCAGAATTGTCTCCCTTATTGTTTTTCTTTTCATACCTTGCAGTGTGAGTGATAGTTGCCAACTTACAAGAGGCAGGTCTGACCTTCCTTTTCCATAAGGGTATTTGTCCCCTACCACTGTTGGTCTCTAAGAATCTTCCCCAGTGTAAAAGCAGCGGTACACAAGCTCATTCTCCCTGCACAAAGGCTGGAACATAACTCAAACAGATTATAATTCAGAGTGTTTTATACTTTGACACTGCCCAAGTAATATGTTTTGCTCTTTTGAAATTAAAGGCTTCTGGCACTCAGTGGCTTTCCCTGCCTCTGTGGCAGCCCAGCTCTGCTTCCCATTTGTTCTGCCACTAGTCTTTACCTCGAGCTTATTTCTCGAGGAAAAATATTAGTTCTCAGGGAGAATGGGAAGATTTATAAATGACAAAACAAGATTGCAGTGTGTCACTGAGAAAATTGGTGGTGGAGGATGCCTATGGCTGCAGCCTGCCCTATCCCTGCGCTGGAGATTCTGGAGATGCATGCGTGATATGCCAAAAGAACAAACTTTCATTCAGTCATTACAAAAATAAACAACAATGAGGAACTATTTCCAGCAGGGATCCAGAGCACGGCAATGACCAGCTATTCCATTTATAAAGGAGACAACAGGTTGTGGTGCTGAACAGAGCAAACCCAGACGAACAGTGAAAATGATCGAGAAGACCTGCAGCTGAGGTTGTGTATCTTCTTGCTGCCTTAGTTTGGGAGAGAAGCGCTAACTGACTCATTTTTTAAATTATTATTTAATCCATTTTTCTCTTCAGTTTTCTCTCACCAGCCTCCTCCAAGAAGCTGCTTTTGTCAGCATTCAGAAACTCTGGCTCCTGGGAAAACCAAAGCCAGCACTGAAACACATCCCAAAGCATCAAAGGAAAGTACAGCTGGGAGGGACCACAAAGACCTAGCCTGGCCTGCTTCCCTGCGCCAGGAGCAAACATATCCCGACCACCCGACCACTGCCTGACGTATATTTGTCTAGCCTGTTATTAAAGCTCCTTGTGAAACAAATTTCACAACCTTGCTTAAACAAGCTTTGGAGAGAGCTGCTCTACCTGCTTACCTAGTGGTTTGGAAAGCCTGCTTTCTAATAATTAACCCAAATCCTAGCTGCTAATTAGCTATCTTCTTGTTTAACCCTCAGTGGACACAAACAACAGATTACCAGTCTCTCCTGCTAATTTTGCATATTTGCACTGCATTATGATTCAGCCTTTCACTTTTCCAGTTAAAACAAATGAAACCACTCCAAATTCTCCTGATAAGTGTCATCTCCTAGACCTCTGCTTTCTGCCGCCTCCCAAGCCCTCTCCCATTTGCCTAAAACTGGTGGTGCCCAATCTAAAAGAGGTCTCACCTTTTCCTGTCAGCTATCTGTTCCCAGACTCTTAATTCACTCCCTCAGGCTGAATTGTGGCCTAGAGCCCCGATGGAGTCGCAGTGTGAGCAGAGTGTCACTTCTGTAAGCAGCAGGGGCTGTTGGGGATGTTCTGCATCCCAAAGCCTCAGAGACCAGAGCCAGCTGACGTGCCCTCAGGCGTTTGCTCTTCTTTGCTTGCTTCTTTCCATCCATGTGGAAGAGATGAGCAGTACAAATGGTAAAAGAATTTTTCTGGAAAAACTCCCCATAAGAAATGCAGTTTCACTGAGACTGAAAAGTTTTGGGGCAAATATGCCAGCCCACTAAAGAAGAAACATTTAAGTAGAGCTTTTCAGCTTTCATGTTTGAAGTTCAGTATTTCTGAAACTTTTTCTTCTATAAGGCAAAAATGCCTTGCTTCAACTTTATAATTTTCATTTCATATCTATTTAAATTTCCTTCAAATTATTCAATACTGTGTTCATACTCTTTGTGTTTATATTACATTCTATGTTGACACTATCAAAATAATACAATTTGCCTTCTTCAAATTTGATATTTCAAGGAGTGAAAAAAATGTTCTAGAGTTCTTGAACCATATATTTCAATACTTGCCATGTGTTTCTTTTTACTTTCTATTGCTTCATGAATTCTTTTGACTATTTGTTCTAACTAGGAACAAAATATCTGAATTTAGGCAGTACTGTGTAAATTCCTGACAGCTCTAGGTAATGCGTAAGGGTACACAAACCCTCTCAATTTTGCTCACGTGTCCAGTTCCTGCATGAGGTGCACAAGGAGGGAAGCAGCTCATTCCTTCATTTCACTTTGCATTGTGCCTGGAAAAAAACTTTGCACAGTTTGGAATGGTGTTTGATCAGGAGCCTGTTTACAAAATAAGCGTCTTCTAACCTCTGATATGACTTGTGCTAGATGATTCTTCTGCTTCTGAAGCACTTGAGGCCAATATTTTCTCTTTGAAAGCCTGTACTTTGCGTTGATTCCCCAACAGTGAACAAGTGGCCATTTGGGGATTCTTTGCTGTAGCATTTTTAATATTCCATCCGTTAACTAATTTGGATATATATTCCCACTGCTTAGTCTCTTCTAACCATGAGTGTCCCAAGATATGATAGAATCATAGAATCATAGAATGATTTGTGTTGGAAGGGACCTTAAAGATCATCTAGTTCCAAACCCCCCTGCCGTGGGCAGGGACACCTTCCACTGGACCAGGTTGCTCAAAGCCCCATCCAACCCAGCCTTGAACAGTTCCAGGGAGGGGGCATTCACAACTTCTCTGGGCAACCTGTTCCAGTGCCTCACAACCCTCACGGTAAAGAATTTCTTCCTTGTATCTAATCTAAATCTACCCTCTTCCAAATTAAAGCCATTACCTCTTGTCCTATCGCTCCATGACCTTGTTAAATGTCCCTCTCCAGCTTTCTTATAGGCCCCCTTTCAAATACTGGAGGGCTGCAATAAGGCCTTCCCTGAGCCTTTTCCTTTCCAGGCTGAACAGCCCCAACTCTCTCAGCCTTTCCTCATAGGAGAGGTGTTCCAGCCCTCTGATCATCTTTGTGTCCCTCCTCTGGGCTCATTCTAACAGGTCCCTGTCCTTGTTATGTTGGGGGCCCCAGAGCTGAATGCAGTAAATATGCAAGGTTGCAAAATTAGGGAGAAGCACCTTTTAATGCATGACCTTCAACAACTGACCCTGTAGCTATGCGAGATCATCTCTCTCCACAGATTTTTAATTATCTCTTGAGTAAGTAGCCTTTTGAACAATCTTTAGCATTTCTCAGTTGCTCTCTGCTAGATGCAGCCCACACTGTTAAACCACCAGGGTGCCAGAGATGTGGTGCAAGCAGTTGCACTGGCCATCCCAAGCCCAGGGAGGAATTTAGACTCCCAGTCAGTATTGGTCCCAAACCCAGGAGCAAGAGAGGTTTTACTCTGCTTTCTGGTCCAATGATCTGATAGACTGGACATATGATCTCCCATGCCTTCATCCAAGCAGACAACTTAGAACAAAATGCTACCAATCCATTAGGGCCATTGGCAGCAAAGCGCCAATGAGTTCTCTGAAAAATCTTCAAGATACCCTGCTTGAGTGTCACTGCTCCGTTTCTCACCTACACAGAAAAGCCTTCTGAATGGGCTTTTCTCAAGTCAGACCTGAATTCTCATTTCTTTCTATTGAGAAATCATGCTTTGGCAAAGATAGTTGGAGAGTCTCCCAGTCTGGCTTTAACTTCAGTCATCTTTCATTCCTCACTGGAACTCCAAAAGTTTACTTTTTCTGAAAGGACAAATTGGCCCTTTTCTCCCTTCTGACTGCCACAGATCCTGTAATACACATCCAACTGCCCCTTTCTTATCTGGGTCAGCTGCTGGGAGACTTCTGGAGCTGCGAGATCCTCCCTCATACTTTTCCTGTTGTTCTATCAGATGAAAAAAAATTGAATTGGGCACCAAAGTTCACATTTTGTAGGTCAGGTTTGAATTAATTGCCTCAAGGGTCATATTTTAAAAATGAAGCCCGAATACATACCTTTAAGTGATGAGTCATATGCATTGTGCAATGGATTATTATTCACTTTGGGGTACAATATTTACTTATGCTTGTGAAATGCTCCATAATTTTTACATCTTTTATTCCTTATTGTCTTCAGATGTAGGTTATAGTCACAGGAAGACTGTAGGCTTAGCTTTTAAAGTGAATATACTTTAAAGCCTAATTAAATAAAAGTTAAAGATGCTAGGTGATAGGCAGTATCTTAATTGAGAAGGCAATAGATTGAATTAGGGTTTTTTTCTTATAGATCCTCAATCCAATATTTCTTGAAAACTAAACCGTCATATTCTTCAATTGCTAAAACCAATTTCAAGGTAAAAATGTCATGTCAAATCATGTACCAATAAGGGCATTGCAAATAAGATTTTTCTTGACCTTACCAATCAGTCACATCGCATCCCTTCCAAAGAGTATTATTAGATTTTTATCATTTTCTGAAAGCTTCCTCTTCAGAGACCAGCCTGATAAAGTAAAGTATCTGATTCTAATAGATAGCCACAAACAAAGTTATGAATACCACTGCTATTCATTTAAGGGACATCACTACTCTACAGTAGATAAAAAGTCTAATGAATTTACATTAATCAAATAAATATAATGATTACCTGGCACATACTTGATTTTATAATTATATATATCCTAGTAATCCCTTTTTAGAATTGATACAATATGATAGATATCTTTACGAATATTCATATATCATAGAAAAGTATGGCTTTTTTTTTTTTTTTTCTAATGATGCGTCTTATTATTACCATACTGATTCAAAAGAATTTCTAGATCCACATGATATAAGCCTGAGATATGGTCAATGGTGTATAACAAGATACTCAGAAGAGGAAGAACAGTCTAATACTGTAAGCAAATGGGGCGAAATTCTACCTTGTCTTGTGTCCCACAGATTACCTCGTTATCATGGGGGATGCACAAATATTTCTGAATTTGTGCTAGGAATCTAAATGAGCTGTTAGTTACATGGGTGCAAGTCCCATTAGCATCACCAAGAGCTGTACTAAATTATTTAACTGAGTGCTGAACTCATAGCTCACAGACACTTAACCCTTGCAGTAGAGCTCTAAAACTCTAGTGCTCAGTTTCAGAGCTGTGAAAATGTTTCCCTTGACAGATTCAAAATTTCACAATATTATGCACAGAAACATGAATTGAATTGCTGTGGTGATAGCAAAAAGTGCTGATTTGTAGATAGCTAATTTAATCCCACTTTTCAAGCTAATGTGAGTATATAACTGATATAGCTTGAATGGTTATGTCACTGATTTGAAACAGCAAAATTACATTGCATTAATTTAACATATTAGAGACAAATGTAAACTAATTTCACAGCTCCTTCAGGCACCATTTTCTAATGAGAACCAATTTAATGTGAAAAACAAAACAGAAAAATACATATTTTTTTACCTTCTCTAGATGTGCAATGGTATTCAAAAGCACTGTTGGTTTTCCAGGGAAATTTCTTGTGGAACAAATGTAAGATTTATGATGATGAGGAGCTAAGCCTCATTCTTACTGGGGCACATGTCAGCTACTCTACTTATATTAAAAAAAAAAAAGTGTAATCTCTGCTGTCAGGGCACAGTGTTCAGGGAACTACTTACAGAAGGTGTATACAGTTGGAAGAGAAATACTTCTGTGGAGCTGAAGCAACTCTGTGCCAGAAGGCCTGTAACCATATCCACGGTAGGCAGCGTGAAAGGGGAGGCACAGACAGGGGAGTACACGCTACAATCACAGACAAGACACTCTGCGGTTTGTGTGATGCTGCCCAGCACCCACCACGCTTCCCATCAATGCTTGTGGATGTGCTGTTGACATTATAATCAAATTAGTCATGTAGAAACCTTCAGAGTCAAGAGAGAGAAGTTGACCCTTCTAGAGCACTGTTAACCTGATTAAAGCTTCTGTCTGAAATGGATCAGATGGATCCCCCTCTAGGTGACCTGTTTCCCTCTGTTGACTGTAAAGGCAATTTACACAACTGACTCCAGTACAGGCGTCTGGATGCAGGCTGGATGAATCCCATCTGCAAGGATTCACATTATCCCTGCAAACTGCCTAAACTCGGCTCCAGATCAAGCTGCCTGCAAACCCCTGCTGCCCTTGCTTGCAACACAGCAATCCTTTTAGGAAGGACCTGGCTCAGTCTTGTCTGTCTCATGAGTCCTGTGTCGAGGTGGTATGGGATAGAGGGAAGCACCTTGGCCAGACATTTCATGCTGGATCACACCCCCACAGCACAAAGCATGCTCTGGCAGGTCTTCTAGGGTGTGAGGTGCACCAGCAGCTTTCCCCCAAGAAGCACCTCTAGAGCAGGCCCTCACAAGGAATAACAGCAGAGTGAGGGGCAAGTGTGGCTTCATGCCTCTTGTCAGGCAGCTGCTGCGCAGCAGTGAGGGGCAAACATCTTGTCCCCCCTGGTCCAAGGAGATACAGCATGAAGCACATCCCGCAGTCAACACTTCTAAGAGGGACTTGCATGACATCTGTGTACCTAAGCACCAAATGCCACACATCTGAGGCCTTACACATACATTTTTAGAAAGAAGATATACTTTCCTGAGCTTTCATGTCCCAGAATCCCATGGTGGTTTTGGCTTTAAAGTGCTTTCTCACAGTGTCTGTAGTGTCTTTCAGGTAACGTAGCGGCTTAGCTACACTGTGGGTGCAGTGCTTTACTTTTGTTTGCTACTATTTCAGTCAGATTCATTGGCCCTATTTTTACCTGCTCCTCTGGTCCCTTGCTATTCCTTTGGTAAAGGAAAGAGAAATCCATGTGGCAGTCTCTCTGGCATAGGCTGGGTAAGCTGAATTACGGCTGCTTTATGTCCCAGTACAGCTCAGTACATCAGGATAGCCTCCTGATGGTCATTGGCTTTGGAAATCATTTTCCATTAATTATCTGCAAAATATTTACTTTAAAAGTGCTGTGAACAATCAGGCCAGGAAGCTTGTTTACTTGAACATTTCCTCAACAAGAGTGCAAACACCATTGACATGAAGTTTTTATACTTTTCTCCCACCTCTAAATAAATGCTGTGTAGGACTGATCAGGATTTTGCTTTGGTTAAAGAAGAACAAGACCTCTGGTGTTTATTTTTTCAATATACATGTATTGTTAAAGAACAGTTATGTTCATTAGTGACTTCCTATGCACGTACTTACTCAATTACCTCTTTCTTTCTTTCTTATAGGCATGCAGCCACCGCTCTAGCTCGGAGATAATCTGCTGTACAACTCCTTCACTGAAAGCCTTCAATCTCCAACCACCCTTTGTAACCAAAATGTTCTTTATTTTTGATGGTGTCAGCTCTTTGTACTTTGATTTTGATTATGTAAATAATCCTGTATTTAAGCATTTTGAAAAGCCAGTGCTCATCTCAAGAGGCAACCCAAGCATTTTGGAAATTAAGGTAAGAAATGTTGTAATACTTTTTTCAATTATTTGCAAGCGCACATCAGCAGCACAGTGTGGACAGACATTTTGATGAAAAAGTGAAGCCCTAAGGAAGCATGGGCAGAGAGGGACGGAGAGCATTGTGTTCAGTACTGCGTTCATCCGAGCCCCCAGCTGTCACAACTTAAAAGATGCAGAGCTGAAACCAGAGATACATCAGGGTGGTTGCTGGCATCAGGTGGGGTGAAAGAGGGGCTTTCCTCATCCTCATGGGAGGACCACACTATGTTAGCTTCTGATTGTGATGATCTGTGCCACCAGTTCAGGATTAAACACAGCCATCAGCCCAGAACCTGAAGTGTGTGGTCTGCACATGAGTCCCAGCTCTTACTGTCACAGGGTTTTGTGTCCTTCCTCACAAAAGACGTGGAGTTGCCTTTAGAAAGCAGCCTGGCAGCTTTGGCTCCCTAGAGCTGAAGGAAACTCTGGCCTGTGCACAAAGTCACTCATGAGGATCAGTCACCACTGTAGCCTAAATATTTACAGATCCATGAAAAATGCAAAGTTGATGCTGAGTGCCTGTTAAAGAGCGCTGAGAATAGCCTACACGGCACTGAGAAACATCTCTCAGGAATTCAGGGCCCTCGCAGGCACAGGCTGCTCTCTACTAGAGTGCTGCGGAGAAAGTTAAATACATTTTGTGAGAGACTGATTTCCTGAAATCTAGTGCTTTTCTGAGTTAGAGTATCAAATAGGAACACTGTAAATACAGGTATTTCTAACTTATAATGAATGTTTATGAAAATGTATTATTATGTACATGAAACTTATATAGAATGTCTGTAATTTACATAGAATATAATCTATAAAATATGCTTTACAGAAGAGAACCAGCCTTAATGCTGGGGTCATCTCTTTATGTGACTGCTCCATAGCTCTGTAAGCCCAAACACTTTTCCCCCAGAACAGCCATGAAATCTTGAAGCCCTGAGGTCTTTGGCTCCAAAATGGCCCAGTGGGCCAGCTCCTGAGCTGCAGAAAATCAGAGGGGGTTACCTCCGAGCCTCTGTCAGCTATGCTGGGTTCCAGTCAAACTCTCTTAGTATTGATCTGTCTCCAGAAAGTGTTTTGGGAAAATTCAGAACAATAATCAGTCTTTATTTTTTTTTATTTTGTTTTTCTACTTGCAACTTGTGGCCGTACAATCACCCCTTCCTCAATGCAGAACAATTCTTCCATTCAGTTAAGGAGAAATGCTAGAAAGAGCTCTGGTGTGCAGATCAACAGGGAGCTGGGAATATATAGCTGCTGCATGGCTCAGTGCCTTTGTGCAGTGACAGCAGTGTTTTCCAGTATTTTCCAGGTCATGCAAATCAGCCAGTTGGAAAGAAGACTAATCTGAGAATAATCATAGAATAACTTAGATTGGAAGGAACCTCTGGAGGTCTTCGTAGTCTACCCCCCTTGCTCAAAACAGAGCTAAGTTCAAAATTAGGTCAGGCTACCTATAGTCTTGTCTAGATGACTTTTGAAGATCTCCAAGAAAGGAGATTTTGCACCTTTAAAAAACTCACCTCCACTAGCCTTGCATTGTGCATGCTGTGCTTCAGCTCCCTTCCTAGATCAGTGGCCCTCTACTGTGCTTCATCCAGTTTGTCAGTATCTTGCGAAAATCAAGGTAAACGTTGTCCAGTGCTCGCCTTTCATCTGCAGAACCAGTCATCTCCTCATAGAAGGCAATCATGCTGCTCAGGCAAAACCACCCTTAGGAACCTACGCTGGCTGTTCCCAATTCCATTCTTGTCCTTCCTCTGCCTGGAAGAGCTTCCATGAGGACTTGCTCCATAATCTTCCCAGGGACTGAGCTTAAAAATTAGGTGTTTTTTAACTCTCTTTTACTTTTGAACCTTTTATTCTCCCTTAAGGAGGTGTCCCTACTGCTATTTATTGCTAGGAAGAAGCCATTCAGATGAGAAAGGCTGGCTGAGGACTGTCCCATTGACAACTGACCGATGTCACCATTTTGTAGCGTTGATGTCACCTGTAGTCATGGCACCCAAGTCAGATGTCTACCTAAGCTTAATGCCCTTATTTCCTGCCAACCAACAGGAGAATAACATTAGTGAAAGCTGGTCTCCTAGAACAAAGCATGAACAAGCACCAATTTAACTTCTTCCTCTAAATAGAATTAGTTATAGTGGGATGCTTCTATCGAAACAGTGAGGCGACTTTCAGAAATTATAGTCGAGAGCCAAAAGATCATTACAAGCCATATTGGCAACACTTTTCCCTCGCCCCATATCCGCATTCAAAAATACACACACACAAGTTTACATGCCTCATGGTCATATTTTGTGCAGTAATTAAGCAAGCTCAGCATGAAATTAAATGGCAGCTTGCTTCAGTGAACAGTCTGTTCTACCAAACCAAAGTTCTTTTATCTTTTTCTTAATTAGTTTCAGAGGGGTGGAGGGAGCTTTTATCACAAGTTTTTCAATCAAACTAATCTAGTGTGACATATTTGGCTTTCATCAAATGACAGTGGGTACCAATTGAAAGGTTCTGTTTGGTTTCCCCTGATGACCATAAGATGTTTTTGTAAGAAAATGTTGCACACAAGAAAACATTAAGTCTTCTATCTAAAACACAGTCAGGGCACAGTGTGCCATGAGTGCCAGCCCTTCTTGTCTTCAGTGCCAGCCCTTTTGTCTTCCACACTACTGACCTTCTAAAGGTCCCACATCATCACTGCCTTCCTCTGCCAATATGCGGCTTTTCGAAGTCTTTCAGTGTCCACCAAGCCCTAGTCAGAGGGGTCATGGCAGAGTGGCTTGAGGCACTTCTCTGCTTCAACATTGTGAAGACACCACTTCAGAAGTGCTCCCGTCTCCCACCAACACATGACACTCTCGGGGCAGGAGAAATTCTGATGTTTTGCTGTTGGGGATGACTGAAGACCTGAGCCCGCTCAAGAGGATGGAGTCTACTTGCTGCCTCCCTCAGAAGCCACTGACCCAGACCTGCAAGCCAGCCTGACAGTCCAGTGTGTCCTAGCTGTGAAAAAAACCAAACAAATAAATAAGGAAAGAAACAGCTTCTTACCTCAGTCTGCCCAAAGGCTTAGACTGGTCAGGGGTTGTGCTCATGCACCAAACCAGTGCGGAATCTATGTGCGTGCTTCCAGAGGAGGCCTAGGAATGGGCTGCTAGGTAAATAAGTTGTATTTAAAAATATAAGTCTTCCACTAGAGAGATGAGTAGCACAATTGTCATTTCATGTTAGATATCACATCTGAGATCTTGGCTGTCCTCTGGCACATCTGCCCTAAAACTAAGAGTAGGACAAGACTTACTAAATTGCCTACTTTATTCCCAAGCCTGTGCAACACATTCTTAATGAGACAATCTTAAGGAACTCATCTATTTATAGGTCACTCTATTTTCAATCTTCTTCCACATTGCATAGAAAATTATGTTTCTCTCAATATCTGGTCCAAGAGAGTGTGATATGGAAACCCTGGTATTTATCAGCAAGCTGAAGTGGAAACTCTGCAGCTGCAGTAACTCCTCATTCTTCCAAAGTCAACCCGCTCTGCTTAGGAACCTCAAAAATTCTTCTGACATCTATCTCAAAATTTCCATGCCTTGGTTTGTGATCCTTCTACTGCTTCTAGACTTTCACCCAAATTATTGCTATCTCTCTGAAGTTTTGAGGTAGTTGGTCTATCATATTGATTTGCTACAGCTACTCAGTCCAGTATTGAGCTTCTCCAGCTTGCATGCAAGGGCATTGCTCAGCATGAAGGGGGTATAGTTTCCCAGTTCTCACAGGAGTCAGTTTCCTCCTTTTGTTAAAATCATGGGCAAATTTTGTGGTCCTTGGAAGAGCAAAACTATTGCTGAAAAAACTCTTTATATATTCAATATATTTGAAACTATAATATATTAATGGCAATATAATGGTAATGGTAGCAAATAAAATATACCATCTTCATTATAACTACCTGAAGACCACCTTAGGAAATGCCAGTATAATTGTTTTTTCCTCTGGGTAAGCATCAGTTTTGGTGGAGAAAAATTCTAAGATTTGGTGTAGAAGAAAAGGAGGCCACTCTTTTAACGTATTTATCCTGAAGATGGAAGACTCAAATTCAAGTCTTTTGAGGTACATAGAATCATAGAAACATAGAATGGTTTGTGTTGGAAGGGACCTTAAAGATCATCTAGTTCCAAACCGCCCTGCTGTGGGCAGGGACACCTTCCACTGGACCAGGTTGCTCAGAGCCCCATCCAACCTGGCCTTGAACAGTTCCAGGGAGGGGGCATTCACAGCTTCTCTGGGCAACCTGTTCCAGTGCCTCACAACCCTCACAGTAAAGAATTTCTTCCTTGTATCTAATCTAAATCTACCCCCTTTCAGTTTAAAGCCATTACCCCTTGTCCTATTCCTACAGGCCCTTGTAAAATGTCCCTCTCCAGCTTTCTTATAGGCCCCCTTTCAGGTACTGGAAGGTTGCAATAAGGTCTCCCCAGACCCTTTTCTTCTGCAGGCTGAACAACCCCAACATCATTCAAAGTAAAGATTTGTACATGAATGGCTCACAATCTGCAGCAAGTCTCCATACCAATAAGCGATAAGCAGTCAATCACATGCTCCCTGGCCCATTTATTTAATTAACACCAAACAGAATGGCTCAATTAGACAGAGATAGAGTGCAAAATGGACTTTTTTGGCCAGCAATTAAAAAGCACTAACCTGGGGTGTGGCTTTGCCAGTCCAAATAGGATATTAAACTGGCTTTCCTATATTTTTGTTAACATTTTCCCAGGGCTCAGTCTGATTCTGCAGCAGACCCTTCAACATATTCCACAGTAAGGTTTTTTTGCCCCTCAGAATGGGATTCTCATTTTCTTTCCAGTATACGAGGCCTCATAGCAGTGTCAGCCATGGCACCTTCCTCCCTTGTTGTGAAAAACTCCCAGATCCAGCCCACACAAATAGCCTGTATTAGTGTTACTCCCCATCCTCCCTTTGCCCCTTTTACTCCCGCTTAACACGCCTGTTCTTTCATCTTAAGCTGGGCTGCACAGAGGGTAGGGCAGCTTCTTAAATACTGATGCACTCCTGAGCACAAAAGATCCCGAACTTGGCCTTCGGACACTACTATCGCAGTACCAGAAGGAATAATATTTCATCCAAGTCTGCGATGTGAAAGCAGGTTTTCTGAGTAGGGAGTGCACTTTTCATGCTGTCATCTTTATCAGGGTTTGTTCCTTTTTGGTCTGTGGAATGTGATTTTAACAGATTTGTGCATTTTTATGATTACAATTAATTAGTTCTTTTTGAAAGCTTCACTTCTGCTACCATAACCACTTGCAAAACAAAATGTTTGAGATGCCTTTAGTTGGTGGACAATATAATGCCAGTTTTGTATAAACAACAGGGTCACATAATACGTCCTTTCTTGTGCAAATTATGCAAAAATCTAAACAAGACCAACAGGATTTATCCCTCGGACATTTACATGTTTAGAAGTCTGTACAGGCTGTATGAGTATTAGTGACGGCAGATGTTATCCATAAACTTTAGCATGCCCGTCTGGCCTATCTGTCAAACTCCCATTTACACGGAAAAAACCGATACATGCATATTGACAGGGCAATGTAAATTTGCATTAGTCTTTAATTTCTCAATTGTTTTTCCATTAAAAATATTTTCCAAGGTAATTAAAGGATTTCTTAACTTTCATGAGATGGTTATGTAATATGAAATTGATTTTGTTTTTCCAAGGGAAATTATATTGATTCAGAAGCTGTTAAAGGAGAGGTGCTAAAAGTTGGAAATAAAAGCTGTGAAAATCTCCTCCTGCAGTCAGAATCAATTCTGTGTACAGTTCCCAGCGATCTCCTGAAATCCAACAGCGAGCTAAATATAGAGGTGAGGCAGCTACACCACACGTGAGATATTAATGCCATTTTTATTATCACTCCCAATGTCACTATTGAACCTATAAACTTTAAATTTAAGCCTAAACCTGGTGTTTACAGAGATATCTCTGTCCCTGTTTGTATGGGATGGAAATTCAAATAATATTGACTTTTTTAAAAGAAATGTTATCATCATTGTTGTTATTACCTGTTTGTACAGAGACTTTCTGGAGCCTTAGTCACAAAGTAGGACCTAAATTAAGGACAGAAATAAAATGATAGTTATTAGTCTAAACACAAGAGGAAATATATGGGGAAGAACGGGAAGCTATAATGGAATAAGTTTATTTTGGAGCTCACAAGCCCTTTTTTCAGCAAAAAATTCTGCTGCAGTCAAGAGGACCAGATCCTTTCCAAAAGAGTTTTTTGTCTGCTTTTCATAATTTCATTTAAATTCTTTTTGTAAGATGCAGACACCTAGGACAAATGTTGAGTTCTGCTGTTGTTCTAAAGGTGTTCTTATTGGAGTCATTCAGAGCACTACTGCAAATTTAAAATATAGACAGTTTTAACCTACTGATTAACAGAACAAGGCACAAATCAGTATCTTTGTATTTTTTTTAAATATAGAAAAAAAGGAAAATCACAGCAGTATGGGATTACCTTTAAGTTGCAAAAGTTGCTGATCATGGACTCTGATTCACTGAAAACAGTAGAGATTTTGCCAGTCACGTAGCGTGACTAGAATCAAAGTCTATGTAAGCTCTTTGGAGCAGGGACCATCTATTTTTTCTGTGTCTTCATGGCATTCATCTCAATAGGATCCTGGGCCTTGAATGGTATCCCTATGTGCTACTGCAATCTAAGTAAATAGTAGTAACTAATTTTCTTTATTAGGACAGTAAATATTAGTTTATTTTAATATCAATTTCTTCTGAAATGTAGAAATTACATTGATGTATGAGGCAAACTAGAAAATTAGATGCAGCTCTCCTTTCGACATATCTGTTTCCCAGACCTATAAATGCCTAGTTTTGTGTAATACCTGTGCACATGTTGCATTCTGTACCTGTTCCTGTTTTCACGTACGCAGCCAGGACTGGCACTACGTTCAGTCAGTTCTACTATGTGACATTTCCTTAACCTGTAAGAAACAGATACGCGTGACGTGTATTTTGTACATAGAAAAGAACACAACATAAAGGGGTTAAACCAGGTTTCTGCTTGTTTGCTGGCAAGGAGCCTCAGAAATTGCAGTCTGCCCGGCAAAGAAGAAAATTTACTCTTTTGATGGGCAAATCCATCATTATAGTACCCAGAGGAATGAATTCCACAGGAGGAAGAGAAAAGATGGCCAAATGCATTCCAACTGACTGAGCTAGTGCCATGTGACCTAAAACAGTTTCGCCCTGTTAGCTGCTTGGTGTTTGGTTGGTTGTTGATTTTGGGGGGGTGGTTTTTTTGGTTTTTTTTGTTTCTTTAAACTGTTGACAAGCTAGAAGTTGGCAAGGCATAGGCTCACGTGACCTTGGGAACTAAAATGCAGGCACGCTGTCAACAGAGAGAGAGTTTGATGTTAGAGTGTATTTATGCCAGAAGCAGACATATTAAAGACATTTGGACTAATTTTTTTCTAACACACGTCTCAGCCCATATATCCACAGGCCCATGCATTTCCCCGCACCATTTGAGCAAAAGTATGAATTTATCATTTTCAGTATCGGAGCAGTAGGACCCCGTTACCCAGAGCGCATGTTTGAGTGCATGTCGTGTATGTGGCGTAGCACATACATAGCGGTGTCACTACCAGAGCTCTTGCAGGCATATAATGAATCATAAAAATGTAGGTCTGCTTTCGCGTACACCCGTATAATAATCTCTCCACTCCCAGAGTCTTATCGCAGTACAGCATCACAAAATCAAGATTTAATACACATGGGACATATCAGCTCATACTTTAGTACTATTAATCTACATCCTACTTGTCTTTTGAAATCATCACACTTTTTTCTTTGGTTTTTTTTCAGTGGAAGCAAGAAGTTTTGTCAACAGTTATTGGAAAAGTGCTGATCCGGCAAGATCAGAATTTCACGGGACTAATTGCTGGAGTTGTTTCAACATCAGTTTTAATTTGTATCTTTTTGATGGTTTTCCTCTGGAGAAGGAAGAAGAAACAAATTAAAGGTCCATCATAGTCAATTCCATCAAATAATTCCATTATTAAATCTTAAATTTTAAAAACTGAAATCAAATTATACTTTGCTTAACTGCCATGCGATGCCCTGTTGTAACCTGTCAGCAGAGGTTTCACAATCAAGTCCAATGTTTAGTTGCATTTCAGCCCTTGGTTCTTGCCTGAACTGGGTGAAGGGCCACACTATGCGTAAAGCAGAAGGATTTCAGAGGAACTCTGAGCTATTAGGAAAACTTAGTAATTTCTCTTCCCCAGTCAGCCTTGGAAGAGGGGACGAGTAAATGACATATGTGGAATCACGAGTACTTCAGCTTCATCCAGTTGCCTTGTATTCCTCCAAGCTGTGCCTAAGTTACACAAGTCACAGAGTGCCTTGGTGTCCTGGTCTCCTGTTCACCCAAATCAGGAACTTGGTCAGAGTGTGCCTCCTCTCTGGTCCCTGTCTCTGGGTTTCCTTCCAGTGGGAACTGCTGCACTACACAAAGGGGGAGGAGGAGGGGAGCTAGCATATAACCTGATGCAGTATCATGGTCAGATCATGAGGCTGGCCCCATAGGCTTCGAAACTCTCTTAGATCTTCCTCAAGCTGAGGTTTACAGAATCACAGAATCACAGAATAGTAGAGGTTGGAAGGGACCTCTGTGGGTCATCTAGTCCAACACTCCTGCCGAAGCAGGATATTAAGAAAAATTTCTTCACTGAAATTTTTGTCAAGCACTGGAACAGGCTGCCCAGGGAAGTGTTTCAGTCACCATCCCTGGAGGTATTTAAAAGGCGTGTAGATTTGGCACTTAGTGACATGGTTTAGTGGTAGACTTGGCAGTGCTAGGTTAACAACTGGACTCTTCAAGGCCTTTTCCAACCTAAACGCTTCTATGATTCCAGGATCCCAGTGTGTCCAAGAGTGGGGCTTTAACACAAGTTACACCAAATCTTGTGCTGTACAGATAACTCAAGTTCAAGTCCTGCGCATGTCTGCCTCAGCAACAACTCAACCCTCTTCCCAGCAGAGCGGAAAATCTAAACTTAAGCAAATAGCTAAATGAATGTTGGCACACAGTAAACATGAAGGTTTTCTAATATTTCTTTCTCCTCCCCTTCAGATCTGGGAAGCGACCTAGTGCGCTATGACGGCAGAGTGCACACACCTCACCTGGACAGGCTGGTGAGTGCGAGGAGTGTAAGTCCAACGACAGAAATGGTTTCGAGCGAATCTGTAGACTACAGATCAACTTTTCCAGAAGGTACACCTCTATTGTGAATCTGTATGGATGCTATTTTATGTATCTTGCTTTTCATATGTCTTCAGATGATAGCTATTTTGATCAATATCTTAATTTCAGTTTCTCATCTGGTTTGTCTGTGTCTGCATTGTTTGCGACTTTCATGTGTTCATAGGTCTGCTATTTGAACTGAGCTTCTCAGGCGCTTCCCACGATTAAGGTGCAAAGGATATTTACTTTTACTCAGGTTGGAGGAATATATAAAATACTATTAGTAACAACTCTATAAGTACGCTCCACAATTTATTAGGAGCTAGTGGATATACCAATTTTGTGTTATCATGAGGTCCATCACACCATGTGGAAATCCACTCTGAAAAAAGTGATTTTAAGGATAGCATCGAGTGGCTGTAGGTTTAGTGTGGCTGAGTGACTTCATACAGTCATTATAAAGCAGTTCTGTCAGCCCAGCATGGGACATGGAGTTTTGTAAACTGATAATCTTTCGTCAGTTCACACTCCTCCTATAAAATGGCACATTATAGGATGCAGAAATGTTGATTTCAAAAATTAAGCTAAAGGAATTTTAAAACTGTGACAAACTGAGTGGACGTCCATGTGTGGTGAGATGCCAGTCTCAGAAAACACATTGGTCAAAGCCTGTGCCACTGGTTAGAAGGGAAAGTGGTACACGAGACAAAACCATGCAAAGATCCTTGGCAGAAGGTAAATCTGCAGTGGTCCTGGGGCCACTGTGCAGTGGCAAAGCACAGCAGAGAGCACACCCAAGAAGGAAGAGCATTCACTTCATGTTTCTGTAGGAATGTTCACATCAATTACTGTCAAAGAATAAAATGACAGGAACATTAGAAAACTTAGATTTACATGTAGCATCTGTAAAAAATATTTTGCAGCTATGGCTAGAGTATTTTACCGTGATTATTAAATGGATATTTGCCCTTGATGACATAAACATGGCTTTGTTAATAGAAGAGTTTGTATTTTTGCTTCTAGATAGAGCAGCACTGAGTTTTTCTCAGCACCTAGAGTGATTACAGCCCTATATGAAAACTTCCCAAGTTTTATACATAATCATATGAGGCATGTCTGTACAACACCTTTTACTCTTTGTGATAAAATATCTGATAATTTCTTTGTTAAAATTATTCCTTTTTTTTCTTTTTGACTCTGGGCTAAATTCTGCTCATTCACTCCACTGGAATCATTCCAGACTGAAATTGATGTAAATTAAACTTCATTCCTTGATTGTATTACACAAAATGCTAGGAAAAAAATCTTCTAAACAAAAGCAGTTTAAAATACCTGAACAACATGCTACTGACGAAAAAAAAAATCTTCAAATAAATACTCCTTGCTTGACTGAAACATTTTAATTTCTGCTATTTTAAATCAGATGGCTCATGTTATTTTCATGAGTAGCACCAACTGTATTATCTTCAGCAGTTGCAGGATATGAATCACCTCTAGGCATTTCCCTGGTTGAATATTTACCATTGGATAAATATAGCTAGTCACCAGCAGTTTGGAAACCTTCATGAAATGTAAAGTTCCCTACCAAATTAGAACATGACAAAAATAAAAGGTTTCACCTTTTTTAATTGTTCACTACTTCCTCCTCCCATCTCGCTGTCATTTTTCCATTTTACTCGTTACTCCCAGATACTAGAAATGCTATAACCTTCACTTGGCAAGAAGTGACAAGGCTTCATTCCATCCCTTCAGAAAAGGGGAAGTTTTGCCATTTACTTTCATGAAAGTAAAGCTGAGACAAGCATAAGTTTCTAGTGACACAGTTTTCCTGGAGTCTGCAGATTAGCAATGCATATTTTCATTTTCCGTTTGTGACCAAAACTTTAGCAAAGCCAAGCCACTTCCAAACTGATAAACTCAAACCCTTGCTCGCTAATGAAATAAAGCTCTTCATTTTCCAAGAAGTCTGAAAGGATTATAACAGTTTCTGTTCCTCTTGCAGATCAGTTTCCAAGCATGTCTCAGAATGGATCGTGCAGACCTGCCCAGTATCCTCATTCTGACCTCTCCCCAATTCTGTCCAGCGGGGACTCAGATTTAGCTAGTCCGCTTCTCCAAACTAATGTCCACATTGACATCAGTGCCTTAAATCCCGACCTGGTCAAAGAAGTGCAGCACGTGGTCATTGGTGCTGACAGCCTGATTGTGCACTTCAGCGAAGTAATAGGAAGAGGTGGGTACGGGGACTCTTCACCTTGCAAACTGCTATTCTTTCTGCACACCCATTCATTATAAACAACTCCAAATAAGGTGTCTACACAGAGGATTTTCAATCTTTTTGCCCCTTACAGCACCACACCTCATGCACCAAATCAAGGGGGGACCAAGGGGCTCCCTGCTGAAGTCAGATGAAGTGTTGTGCATTTGATTAGCTGGAAAGACACCAGAGGGAGGAAGAAGCCTGCCAATTAATGGGGCTTCTTTGGACCCAGGGACTTGCTGATTCCCCCTCAGCTGCCTCACCCTCACCCTTTTCCAGGCTACCAAGAAGCTCAGCCAGTGCTTCTCATCCATGAGGCTGCAGTGCAGGGGTGAGGCTGCCGCAGAATATTGCATGAGCCTAAGGCACACATCTAAGCGACAGGGGATGCTGAGCTGGGGGCACCAGCGACCTTAAACTGGGAGCCTGAGAGCTGGCCGGGTTGGTACACGACACAGAACACTCCCACAGTCGCTAGTGCGCTCAGTAAAAGTCCCCGTGGGCCAGGCGAAATGCACATACCCCTTTTCCCTCCACAAGTTCCCCCCAGCTCTGAGGAATTCATTGTTTGTTTCCTCCCACCAAAGGCTCTCCTTTCCCCCTCATTCCTCCCTCATCCCAGCTGCAGTAATGTGTAGCTCCTGATTCACTTCCCCTTATTTTTGTCCTTGATATAGCAAGTCTCCTGTTTTTCTGAATTTCTCCATCACTCCTGCTCCTCTACACCTCCTTCTTTCATAGCCCAAGTCAATATTTCTGTTAGGGGCATTTATTAAACTCTGCACTATGGAGTACCTATTAGCAACCCAAGTATAAACTGGATTTTCAGTACTCCAACAGATCATGCATGAGAGGTCTCTTGTTGAGTATCAGAATACCAATAAAAGTTTGGCTATAAATGATATTCCTAATGTCTCTTCTGCAGGAAAATAGCCACAAATCAAACAAACGGTCAATGTGTTTCCCTTCCATGTATTACACTTCATCATCCCCAAAGCAAGGGTGGGCCTTTTTCTTTTCTTTCTTGTTTCAGACAAGTCCAAGTAATTTCCCATTTTTTAAATGCTGAAAAATATCAGGAATGACACCAATATCATTAACCATTTTTAATTTTCTCCTCCACAACTAGAAATGGGCCAAACTCAAAATATTTTAGACACACCCGATCCAAGCTTTAGGATTTGTGCCCAGGCTCCAAACAATCTGTGGCCTGATGGGATTTTAGTTGCTTTTATAAAACAAACTTTGTATTAATTTTAGTCTAAGCCAAAAGCAGAGCCAACTGGGCCCTAACCAGCATTTATGACTGGAACCTCATAGAATTAATCAGATAGTCTTGTTCTCTGCAGAACTCACACAACATAAAAAATAGTTTGCTTTCTAACTGCAAATATTAATATTTTAAAAGTGTGCAGTAAATAGTACATCTGTGAAGAAAAGGCACATACATCTACCTAATTTGATTTGGATAAAGTAATGCACGTGCCTGAAGCTCAAAGTTCTTTGTTTTCCAAAGAAGGTCAACCTGAGTTCTCATAGTAGGTTTCCCCATAGTAGGTTTCTGTAGGCTACCCCCCATTTGCTTGGCAGGAAAGCACAGGGTCAGGAAGGATTTCTGTGTCCCGGGCAGTTTATTTCACTGCTTACACTGTAAGAAGGCAAATTTTGCTCATCATCTTTTAGTGACATTTCACGCTTGGAACTAGGCCATAGGAGAGACCACAGCGGTCAGTCTGCGATCAGTAGAGCAGCTCCCATACCGTTCATGGCCAACACATCACATTTAACGTTCACCATTTTCCACGGAATAGCAAGACCTGAGAGACTGTAAGCCCACACTGACCCTCCTTACGCAACGTTCCACTGCAGATGCACCAAGGCAGTACAATCCAGTGGACAAGCTGGCATGGGCTTGCAGACCACTGGGAACCACTGGGAACCACTGATCCATGCCAGCTCCTAACTGCTCTCTTGTGCCTTCCAGTGCCCTCCTTATATATGTCACAGGGGAGTACGGTGGGAATGGGCTGACGTGGTTTTTGTGTGCGTAGTCATCACAAGAATACGAAGCAGTTGTGGCGCCAGCCTTGTCATTATCTATACTCTCCATCTAGGTCAAGAAATATCAATTATGCTGCAAACAGAATTTTCATTTTATGTAGTGATTGTTTTCTGTAATGGTAGTTGTATGTGTTAGTTATGAAGTATACATTACAAGTGTTGGGAATTGGACAGAAACAGCGTGTGATCACTTTCTTAAAGCATAATTGCTACCCAGTGGAAAATACCAGAAAGCTAATTTTACTTATTAAAGCTGATCTTGCTCATTTTTTACACAGGACATTTTGGGTGTGTGTACCATGGGACATTGCTGGATAACGATGGCAGGAAAATTCATTGTGCTGTGAAGTCACTTAATAGTGAGTTACATGTTACATGTTTAATAGCGAGATGTTACCATAATTCCAAAGATAACTGGGGTGAATTAATTAATTACAGTGAAATGTATTTTGACAAAAAAAGATTCTTAGCAGCTGGATCGGATTTATCTCTGGAGCAATTCCAATGACTTCAGATTACCACAAGGCATTGGTATATATTTGTACATCAAACGAAATGCCCATATATTTCCTCTACAAAGAAAAGGACACAGGAAAGGCAGTGTCATTTTTTATTCTACTGACTACTGAAGATTTAGTTTTGGAAGTTAAATTGATAAAGAGAGGACAAAGCTGCTAGAAAAACAGGAAGAGATTATAACAACATTTATTAAAGGCTTTACTTCAGTGTTGGTACTCAATTCTAAATAATTCATAATAAGAAAAAGAGAAATGGAATTAAAATCACCAGCAAACTGTATTTGGTCATAGTAAGAAAACCAATGCATATAACCTAGTTGTAATGTGGGAGGTGGGGAGCACGTTTGTAGCTTCTCATTATCACTTTGTTGTGCAATGACATGCTCTACAGGTACGAACTGTAGTTTGCTTGGGGTTTTTTTAATTAATTCATTTTATTGATGGATTTCTCAGGGATTACAGACCTGGAGGAAGTAGCTCAGTTTCTGAAAGAAGGAATAATCATGAAAGATTTCACTCATCCCAATGTTCTGTCTCTCCTGGGAATCTGTTTGCCCAACGAAGGATCCCCCTTAGTTGTTCTTCCATACATGAAACACGGAGATCTTCGAAACTTCATTAGGAATGAGACTCACGTAAGTACATGGTGAGGTCTACCAAACGGTAATGCAAGTCTAGCCACGCCCTGCTCCAACACCACACGTTATAAGCTCTGATAATTACAGTACGTCTATAACTTGCTGCTGTTACTATACCTTAACCTTTAGCACTTGCTTAGGCTGGCACGGAGCCTGGCCACAGCGCTGCCACTCCTTCCCCTCCCTCAAATTCCTCTCTAGAATGCTTCCCAGAAATTATCAGCAATAAGTATTTCTCATTTCCCATCCATAAGCCTCTTTATAAACAAATGTGTTTATGAGATCTAAGTCAAGGGGCCCAGCCATCTGCTGGTTTAAACTGGCATATCTCTGTCGACTTCGGCACAGCTGTGCCAGTCATCACCATCTGCTCTTCCAGCTCCTAGGTAAGGGATCTTCATGTCCAGCTAGTGTCACAGTCCCATTATTATCATATGTTTTTCTTCTTCTCATAAGAAAGAAAACCAGCAATTGTTATACAAGCTATGAGTACTCTATTATCAGAGATTTTCCCTGTTTCCATGGAAAGACTGCAGATTTCTCAAACAAGCCTCACTGCTTTCTCTCAAGTACGAGACCACAGGTCTTGCCTCAGGCCGTGTAAGCCCACTTTATACTGTAGTATTTCACCCATTCCACAGTGCTACAACAACACAAAGCAACTTCGGAGCCAATGGAATTTTGTCTCTGCCTCTACGGCAACCAACAACAGCCAGTACAATTTAAAAAAAGAATGCATCTTGACAAATTCTTGGGGGAGTTAAGCTTTCTGTGGTAGGGACCTCTTCCCTTTTGAGCTTGTTTCATTCTACAAGCACCAAGGACCTTGTCTGTGAACAGTCCTTCCTGAAATAAATAGAATAACACCACAGCTGAATATGATTGTTCCACAGAAGAAAATGATATGAAGCAATGGCAACAACACAAAAACACTGTGGGACCTTACTATTAAACAACAAGTCATGCTTTTGGATAAAAGAATTACAGGTTATAATTATTTCTGTAATTAACATTTTCAGTAAGGTCTAACCCGTGCATTGTAGACCAGCAGAAAGAGTTACCAGTCTTTGCAGAAAATCTTCCTCTGGTAACTGCTAAGGTCCCATCTGCCTTTTCCATGGCACCATACCGATGACAGCTTGCACTTATTTTGCCCCAGATAGGACTCCCTCCTTTCTTCGTCATTTCCAGCTGATGAGCTCCAAGTTCATAGTTAGCACCTTCTACTGAGTTACATGCTATTACTTTAAGTTCACAAATGTGAATTTTGTGTATATCAGCTGTGATGCTGAGGTTTCAGCACAGTTCCACTTCCCAGCACAGGCCATGCTGCTTACTCTGCAAACTCCACTCTTCTGGAGTCTGTCAGCTTTTTTGATTTCTTAAAGTGTGTTTCCTCCGTGGAGGTAAGAACTTGACCTAAACCTATGCGAATTTTAATACAAGCACCAACCTGTCTTGATCATTCTGGTGGCAAGTTAGGTGTGTCAAAAACTGAGAGTCACACCAAAAAACAGTCTGCTTCTTGGGCTTCTGCATTCATTGTATCACAAATGTTTGTATTTTACAGAACCCAACAGTAAAAGATTTAATTGGATTTGGCCTTCAGGTCGCAAAAGGGATGAAATACCTTGCAAGCAAAAAGTTTGTCCATAGAGACTTGGCAGCAAGAAACTGTATGTAAGTACAGACATCTAATTCCAGCCACGTTATCACACTATTCCGTGGAAGACAGCGAGATGGCATAAATAAAAGTTTCCAGGATTCTCCTTTTTCAGTTGAAATAGGGTGATTTTTTCATTGTTCTGTAATTATACTGATGTTTGTCTTGCATACTGATGAGCTACTCAGCTTGCTAAGGGCTCACTTCTTACACATAAGATTTTTTTGAGTGTGGGAAATAAGAAAAGCTGAGGTGAAAGTGTAGTCTCTCAAAATCATTGGTTGGAGAGTCTGAAAGGCGTCTCCCAAGGGAAGTTCAACTGCTGTTGTCTCAACTTGCTGTGCTTCCACCCAGCCTCTTCAGAGCAGCACGTCTCCGCTGCCGCACCTAGCAGGAGGGAGAGGAACAGAGGGGAACTCTGTGAGAAAAACAGGAACACAAAGAAACACCAGTGAGACTTACTGACAGTAATCTTTCATCACATGAGTATGATCTTACTTTGGCTCAGTTACACACACAGATTAACATTAAAAAATCAGAGCATGCGAAGAATCTTACTAGCGCCTGGGTAGCCAGACAGCTCAGTTCACATAAAGACAAACTGATACAGGACTGTCGATACTATTATGCTGATTCATCACCTACGTTGTGAATTAATGAGGTACAGGATTAAACATTAGACTTTATTTTTAGCATGTCATAAGATGGAACTCTGGCTGCAAAAAGGTTATTCACCTGTGACATCAGATTTCTTATTCTTTTTCAAAGAGTGCACACTCGTGCAGCTGAACAGCCTCTGAAAAAGAATGTTTTCTTACAGCTGGTGTTTTTATAAGGGAGGAAAAAAATCCACGGGCAACATGATTTTCAGGTTTCCTAAAAAGAAAGGAACTGAGTTACTGAACGAGTGAGGAAGATGTTGGGTTGAAGACCCACATTCCCCAGTGGCCATGTGCAACCCAGCCCCTGGCACAACAGCGATGTCCATCAGAAAGGAAGCCAAGATGCAGATACAGTCCCCGTGGACTCTTGACTCTATTCTGCTGTCCTGGAAGAGGTGCAGGAAGCTGCTATGGCATAAACTGTCCCGTTGACCCATCAAAGTCCCCTCCTACTCCCTTCATTGGTATTGGCTTAGTTATTACATCAGTAAATAAGCAGATGATTGTGTGCCATTTAGAGGGACTTCAATAGACCAGAGAGTTGTCCAGACAATCCTCACAGAAACTCAAGACAGGGAAATGCCACATGTAGAGGCTGAGGGAAATGGGATTGTTTAGCTTGGAGAAGCATCAGGGGGATCTTATGCATGTGTATAAATACCTGATATGGTGGAGTAAAGAAGATGAAGCCAGATTCTTCTTAGTGGTGCACAGGGACATCGTAAGAAACGCTTTTATTGCAAGGATGACTGAACACTGGCACAGGTTGCCCAGAGAGGTTGTGGAGTCTCCATCCTTGCAGACAGTCAAAACCCAACTGGTCATGGTCCTGGGCAACCTGCAATAGCTGACCCTGCTTTGAGCAGGGGAGGTGGTGGTGAACTAGATGATCTTCAGAGGTCCCTTCTAACATCACCCATTCTGCAGTTGTGTGATTCTGTAAAAAAGCCCCAAAGCAGGCGTTTGCTGTGGCTAGGTCTGCGCATGTAATGATGGATAGGCTCAAGCATGCCAACACCCATGCTCTTATCTGTTTTCTGACAACGCTATCGCATGTCAGGGCAAACACCAAGCTTAGGAGGAGCAAAGCTAGCGAGATCTTCTGGTATGGCTGAGCTGTAACCCCAGCAGAACTTTCCTTATCCCACCATTCTTTCCCAATACAGACACCAAACACATCCTTAGTTACACGACTACATTATTACACACAGGCAGTCACTGAGATAATGATGGGTCCTTCCTTACCAAAATTGAGACTGAATAGGAAAGGTGATGCCTTGACTTGAAATGAAAATGAGAGGTTTCTAAGGATACAGAAGAACAGCTGTGGAAGAAACGATGTAGTATTCAGTGAGGATGTATAGTCTATTAGCAAAAATCTTTTTATACAGGGCAATTGTTTTAAAAGAACTGTAATTCAAATTATATTATCAAAACAATATCAGCAATTTCTGGAGTTCATTCACTGTGTTAAATGGGTGTCAAATATCCTTTGCTGCACTTTTTGTTTCACTGTTACGTTAGTTAATAGATCCAAGACAAAGTACTGCTTTCCAAAGTCACGGTCTCAAAAGTGCAAGTCACTCATTATAATCCACCACCACTGTAAATCTTGCCTGCTCAGTTGCAGATAATACTTTTTGTCATTTCTCTAGGCTGGATGAAAAATTCACTGTCAAGGTTGCTGATTTTGGTCTTGCTAGAGATGTCTATGATAAAGAATACTACAGTGTGCACAATAAAACCGGAGCTAAACTGCCAGTGAAATGGATGGCTTTAGAAAGTTTACAAACTCAGAAGTTCACAACGAAATCAGATGTGGTAACGTACAAACTTATTTGTATCACCTATTGCTTTCTCTTGTATCGCCTGAGGCATCTCTCGAGTATTTAATGAATGGCCAAACTCCAAACCAGAACTTTTATTTGAATCTAACTTTAGTTCACATAAGAATAAGAGATTGTTTCTAACATTCAGAAAGGGTATTTGTCCCAATCACAGAGCAACAAGTTGTTGACCTGATTATCTGTTACTGCTCGGGAAAGAATTAGGAGTTTAATCCCACTCCAAGGGAAACCAAGGACATTCCACACAGCAAAATTGGAGCTGAACCCTGCTACAGGAGGGGCTCTGGAAAGCTTGACAAAGCAGGCTTTGACACTCGTAAAATTTCATAGTTCTCAAAAATACTTTATTTGCTTTATAAATACTTACTGACTGCCTACAGCAATGTCAAGTATTACCTGGCCATTTATGAAGAAAAAAATTACAAGATGAAGTCATTAGTTGGCTGGATCACTTTGTATTTTAGCTCTCCTTTCAATCCAGATTCAATTTAGCCTGTGATGCATAGAATTTTCACCACGTGTATTCTCTTCAGTATGTATTTACACAGGGTTAGTCAGATCATCAGCTCATGTAAACTGGCAGAGCTCCATTAACCTCAGAAGAGGTCTGCCAATTTATACCAGCTAAGTAGCAGGCCTATAGGCTTTTATTTTCTTTCATTTACTTTGTCGAGTTTCTCTGGCTGTAATTTAAGTGGCTCCTCAAGTCCCTACAGCATTTATTAGCCCACTTAAAAGAAAGCTGAATGCAGTAAAATAACTTTTCAAAGGGAAAATCCATGCATTTGAATGCTTAAATCTGTCAAATCAAGTTCTACAATGGGAACGTAAAGCCCTCCAACCCTATCACTTATTATTTATTTCTTTGTTTTCTTAGTGGTCCTTTGGTGTGTTGTTATGGGAACTGATGACAAGAGGGGCACCACCTTATCCTGATGTAAATTCTTTTGATATAACTGTTTACTTATTACAAGGAAGAAGGCTTCTACAACCTGAATACTGCCCTGACCCACTGTAAGTAGTTTGCAAAGCCTTCTGCAAATGCTGCTGGTTCTGATATTATTGTAAGTGAGACTGTGGGAGGAAAGATGGTGGGTTTTTCCCTTTTTCCATGATTTGGGAACTGAACACTTCTTTTATCCGAATGGCAGGTATGAAGTCATGCTGAAGTGCTGGCATCCAAAACCTGAGATGCGGCCAGCATTTTCTGAACTTGTTTCAAAAATATCAACAATCTTCTCCACTTTTATCGGGGAACACTACGTTCATGTCAACGCTACTTATGTCAATGTGAAGTGCATTGCTCCCTATCCTTCTCTTTTATCGTCACAGGACAACACAGACACGGATGTTGACACATGATGGGTATGTCTGAAACAGAGGAAAAGTCATTCTTAGTCCTATGAACAAAAAGCAAAACATTTTGTCCACTAGTTTTTACTGCCCAGTCTTTGTGAGAACACTGTTGCACATGTCTATGTTGTTGCCCAAGTTGCACTAGTACAAGGACCTGATATCACACTGTTTAAGGCAATGGGATTCTATCAACCATCACCGTAACTTCCAAGTATTTGGACAACCGCACCGATTTACCAAATGGAAACGCTGCGTGCTGCCATCCAGAGCTAGTTCCCACTAGCTGTCATTAACGTGTGCGCAGACACAAGAACAAAGATTCATCGTTAATGCCATGAAGGAGAAAGCAGAATAGCAATCAGTACGGCTGGAAGGACTGTTACTGTCACATGTGCTTCAGGATAATGAGCAGTGCAGTAACGGTTTTCACACAAAAGGCGTAGAAAGACAACGAATGAGAGTTACAAGAGTTTAAAATAGATTTTCCTCCTGCACAGTCCAAACTTTGGATTTTTGCACTATATCAACAAGGTTTCTTAGAACGTAGATGGCCAGCAGAGACAACCTCATAGTGAATGTCTTAACAGAAATCAACACTAAAAAATGGTGTGCAGTAAAGTAAGTATGTCAGCCTTGCCAGTCCTCTGGTGTGTCAGACGGTACATAAAATGAAGGGAAAATCATCTAGCTTAAAGCATTCCTAGTGTCCACTTTATTCCAACATTCAACCACTTCTTTGAGTAACAGTCTATATCGACAGACCTCTTGCTGAGAGATGCAAAGCCTCCATTTCTTTCAGTAAAGAGTTAATGACTCTCTGAGAATAAAAACTTGACGGCATCCATATTACATGCTAGGCTAATCCCTGGGATGTAGCAACACGGGCTGCATCAGTCTCGAGGAAGAGGAGACAGGCAGGCTGGCAGCCTTACGGGGCTGCTGGCTGGCGAGTCAGAGTCATGTGGCGAGGAGCTGAAGCTCTGCCACCTGCCCTTGGGCGGCACGGCCGCCAAAGGTGAGGAAAAAGCAGAGGCGTTGCAGCCAGCGCTGACCTAAAAACACACTGCTGCCGCACGACTGGCGGCGACAGCTTCATGCCAGCCCTGAAGAGCTGAGAAGAACAGTCAAAAAAAGAAACGGCTTCAGCTCCGCCCTCCCCCCCCGCCCCAGCCTCCTCTTGCATCGCACAACCCAGTGAAGTGTGATACCTACTTTTATTTCTAAATTATGACCAGAAAAACAATTTTGAAAAAAGATAGTAAATAAAACGTTCATTCATTAAGGAAGAGTACTATAGCTTTAGGGCAAGCATCACATGTCATTTCTGTTCCTGTGGAATTCTGTGCATACTACTGTATAGCTTGTTTAGTATAGGATAGAACTGGGTTTGTTGGTGTAAACACATAAAGTATTCTATTTTTATATTAAAAAAAAAGTTTATTTTTAATGACATTTACTAAGTTTGGTTAGGCCACAAAATACTGCACTGTGAACATTTCAGAATATGTATGTCAACGTACATGATTCATAAATTGTACCAACCCTAAAAAAAAAACTGTGTAAATATTAGAAAGGAAGAGAACTGACTGTAAACACACTCCACCCTAAGTATAATATCTTCGTTGCTGCAAGCCAACCATTTTAAGGTCTTCAAAGAGAGGTAGTGCAGATAAAGAACTGATATAAGGGAGACATATTGTTCTTGGGAGACAGTATTACAACTGAAAGATTTATAATGAGGGCAGAGTGCATAGGGAAACTATGAGCAGATAATATTGTATTGTGTTTCATCACCACTTTCACTTCAGAAATGAACTTTCATGTCTGCTGAGAGCAAGACTAATTGTAGATTGCTCAAGGACAAAAGGCTTTGCTGCAGGCAAAAAAAAAAAAATCATCTCTATGGTTGTTAAAACAGCGAAGGAAGTTTATGACACATAGATTTGGAGAAGATGCTCCAAAACTTGTACATACATGCTTGAGGAACGCTGCAATGTGAAACAGAGGACATTTTTACTATTTATGAACTTTTGCTTAATAAAGTTAATGTTGTGTCTGGGACACCTGTAAGAATACATGATTCTAATAAAGATTTGATGTTAGTAAGTTCATATACCTGCAAAAGAGCTGAATGGTACTTATGTTTATAGTTGTTGTTCTGACCTAATAAACATGTTATTAAAATGAACTATTGTAATATGTTACGTTCCAAGTGTTGTAATTACTGTCGACCTTTGACTGTTCAGCTGATAGAAGTCTGTGCGCTTTTTCTGACTAACATGGGAAGAACAACCCGTGGAACTGTGCGAGAGAAAGGAAACAACTCAGAAACATAAAAATACGGAGTGCCTCAACAAATCAAACACGCTGTTCATCAGCATCCGACCCCTTAATAGATGCCTCAGAGAAAAGTGCAGAGTGTTTGTCGTGAACAATGATGGCATAGCCTGTTTGGTTAGAAAATCTCTTTCCTAACCACAGGCTGCACCCATGCAGAGCCTTAAAATTCTTCATGCACTTAGTGTTGGGGGTGACATCCAAGGCTCGTCATTTAGGCACCGTAACGAGTAGTTGCTCGGCCCAACAAGGATGCCAACGCTTGCATTCAGCGTCCAAGCCCCCTAACCAGTCACAACCCACAAGAAGCTTCAAGCACCTGAACCCATGTCCCTCATGGCCGTCCATCACACATTTCATCTCTGCGAGGTGCTCTGTATCTGTGACACCTGAAGAGAGGAGGCACGGCAGTCCCCAGGGGCCTCCGTTGTTCCGAGGGAACAGGAGCTAGCCCCGCTTTTCTCTGGCATGTTTCCTCCCAGTTGCATTAGATGCCAGTTCACTCCTGTGAGGTGTGTTTTAAGCAGGTGCCCCACAAATGCTGTGACACACACCGTCCCATGTCGCTCTGAAGCCAGAGGGCACTACCAGCTCAGCTCTCCAGTGGCGTACCTCGGGGGACAGTCTACACTTCACTCGGAAATATTTCAATGTCCAAAGTCTCAGCTGATTAAAAGCAGCATTTATATGCTCTTGTAATTTCAGAATATCAAGTAAACCAACATCAAAACCCATTTTCTCCTGACACATTTCCTTTCTAACAGAAAATGTATATGCTCAGTTTCAACTCAAAGTGTACTTTGGGGGGAAAAAAGGCATTGGAAACAGCAGCTAAGGATGAAAACATTCTTCTCTTGTGTCACAAGCCCAATCCAGCTAAAAGGTCCAACATGTTTTATTCTAATTATTTACATCTAAGTTATTTTCCAATACATTTTCAGGATTTCCTGAAAAGTCAGTAAAAAATCACCAAGGTTTTACCCCAGTCCACGATCAGTACCAGGGTCTTCAACCTAAACCAGCATCACACACAGCCAAATGATGGTCTGAACTTGAATACCAGATTTGCAACACATTCCTCTGATTACTTCTCATGATTTCTGCGGGATGCTATATATTGCCTTTTTGAAAGGGTCAACAGAATCACAAGCTTCCCATGCTCAGCTTTTCATCCCGGGAGCTTTGTTTATACCAGGTACACACTGCAGCAGATCTTCAGCTGACTTACGCTGGCAGCCTTCCCCCTGCATGAATATTAACCGTGGACGGGGCCCGTGGTCAAAAAATTTCATAACAGATGCCCTACACAAAAGCCAAGAGATTAAAAAAAATAGGGAGGCACATCCTCACCCCACAGAAACTTTCCTATTGTTTTCACACAAACTTTTTTTTGTGCACTATTAACTTCACCATTTTAAAAAAATTGCCTATATTAAGGAAGATTTTTAATACAACCGACAACATTAAAGGTTTCCAAAATCAAGGAAAATGCTACACTGTACCATCGGGTTGCTCAGGCTTTGCATACTGCTAATTTTCTGCCTCTGGTGTTAACGTCAATCATGAAGAATGGACCTACGTGCCTTACATAAATGAAGAGGAAAGAAGCATTGCAATTTTTGTTACAGTGGCAGAAGTGGTACAGGCAAGCAACTGCAAAAGGGCATCAAAATAATTTTAAACCTTAACATGAAACTCTTCCTTCAGAAATTTTATTTTCTGGAATTCAGCCATAACACTATATCACTGGAAAAGGTCACATCAGATAAAAGAAATACAAATCCTAATGGGTTTTTTACTCACTAAACAAAACATCTACTCCTGAGAAATTCCAATTTCCATTATTTTTAACAAACAGGTCATGAACTGAGTATTCCGAGCATCGAAGGAAGACAGAGGAAATCTTAGGATCTTGCCAGACCGATTAGTAAAAACATTTACAAGAAATTGTGATCTCACAGGCAGCAGGGAGAATTCAGAGCAACTTGATTGACTCAGCAGACACCAGCCCAGAGGAGATCAGTCTCTCACCCTGGAACTGGAACTGCGTGCTCTGACACGAAACCTGAATTTGCCTTTTGAACTCCCCACCCACCTGTTAACGCTCACCGTGTGATCCCTTCCAGTGAGGAAGCCGACAGACTGTTCCTCATTAAGGTCAAGTACTTGTAGACTCTCCACAGCCTCCTAGGGGACAGAGAAAAAAGGTTTCTGTTCGGTAAGGAACGCTGCTTCCCTGGCTGGTGTTACTGCTAACTTTGGCACTTTCCTCTCCAGAGCTGGCAGATGACTCCCCGTGCCTGGGGGAGACCCTCAGCTGAGGGTGAACCCCTGCTGGGGTGAGCCCAGGGAGACCCTCCCAGCTGAACGGCAGTCAGGTGCAGCCCAGCCCAACAAGGCTGAAACGGGGGACTGGGCCACACAGACCACGCTGGGCTGTTAGTTTCTTGGTTGTTCGGTTATTTGGAGTTAGAGGGAGGAGGAGAGGCACATTCCGGTTTCTTTTCCCCCTGCTGTCACCTTATCCCTTGCTCCCCGTGTCTGGAGTTGGCACAGAACCTCGGGGCAGCAGATGGACCCTCCGGGTCTGCAGCCTTACGGGGCTCCCGAGTCCAACGGAGGAGCACGGCTGTAGTCAGGGATTTAAGCGAATACAGCCACAAACTGCA